GGGACGATGTGATGAAAAATAAAAACGGCTGGATCTGATCCTGATTGTACAACAATAAGAAGTATAACTGATGGATGAAAAATAGAAGCACAGTTTTAACCCGAAAATTACATATTGACATTTAGTAGAAACATTCAAGATAAAATTTAGTGGATGGACTTTGAAGGGTTCGGAGGACAAGGCGCATAAGTGCAGTTTTCAAGAAATACGTGTTTAAAGCTTCTAATTACATGGAGCCTTAGGGCAGAAAAGAAGTTTAAACTCACTATTTGATGCTTTAAAATTCGATTTTAATTGTGAATTTTCACAGATTATACATTCAAACTAGTTTTAGTTGAGTTCCTGAATATCTCAACTTTATCAAAAACTACACTTATGCGCCTTGTCTACCAAGCCCCGCATTTAATGGTTGGAAAAAAAGGGGGAAAAAAAAAAAAAAAAAAACCCAGTACTTACTCTTAAGTGAAAAGCATGGTGTACCTGCAATCTTAATTTTACTCATTGCTAATAGGTAATTTTGAGGATGTGAAATTGAAGAAAAAGCTGCAGTTGCTCCATAGAGCAATAAGAGCTTCCACAATGGAGATTATTGAATCTCAGGCTTTGAAATGAGTAATTAGCTTCTTGGAATGAATGAATGGGCGAGAGAGAGAAAGCAAGGAGGGGGGAGTGCATCAGTGTTTTATTTGATTTGATTATTTATTATTTCATCCACCTAACACATTCAGTAGTCAAGTAATATTTTAGTACTTCCGGTGGAAGCAATATTCTTTTCATGTTCTATAATGGCTTTGATTAGAACTACGAACTTAATTTGGAAAATTATACGACTGAAGGAACCGAAAAGCATAGTTCAGTTTTGATTCTTAGCCTTTGTTGGACTGGAGGCTGAAAATTTCTGTGGAACTATACAACATTCTTATAGAAGGGCAAGATACTCCCTCTAATTTCCCTGAAAGATCATTTCAAGAAAAAACAATATGTAATTATTTTCCACCATTATTATTAGATATTTACTGAATAGTATTTTAGAAAATTGGCACTATTGACATTAGAATTTGGAGAAATTCTGATGCGTAGAGATGTGGAATTTTTTCTTTGAAATCAGTAGAAAAAAATATCAGAGGCGCATTGAAGTGGAAAAATGCCTGAATCATTTGTACAGTTCCAGGCGGGGTTTCACCATGTAAAAAACGAAAATGTACAGCAGCCTGCAGATAGTTGATGTCATTTATGCTGAAAGACTACTGCAGCATTAAACTTGCAGAATGAAAAATTGTACTAGAAGAACACAAGGAAAAATCGCGCTTCAGCAAAGTAGCCACAAAAAATTTTTTGGGTTGGTTTCATGAGTTGAAATTTGACATTATGCTTCATCAAGAGTTACTATAGACTCTTAGATCTGAGTCTTCTCTGGCACAATTTTTTAACCTTCTGAGTGGTTTTTTGTGTCTCCTGAATACTTTAATTTTTAGGAGAGGGTGAGTTTTTAATTCTGATTCAAATATGGTCTACTATGCACACTCTTCCTTGATTTTAAGAATGGATTTTGAAATAAGTAGTGATGTTTGCAAACATTTTTCCAGACGCCGGACGGACATACTTTTTTCAAGTTTGGTGTTTTTCGCTGTAAGCTTCATTGGACACCTGGAGATGATGGAATTTCTATTTTTTTCAACTTTCTTTTTTCCTTCCTTTTTTAAGGGGAGGTGGGGGAGGGAGGGTGGCGACAACAGAGCATTCCCTACCCACAAAGATTACAAAAAAGTAAAAAAAAAAAAAAAAAAAAAAAAAAAAAAAAACATTGTTGAGATTGTAGCACTTTTTAGTCGTATTTTGTTCAAAACAACAAAATGTTTCCGTTTTTTTCTTGTTTTTTTCTACGCAATTCTGAACAACCAATGAGAGAGCAACTTCCAATTTTAGGTTAGAAAACAGCTTTGCTTTTTTGAACAACATAAAAACGACTTGCTTTGAGCGCGTTGCAAGTGTTGTACAACAATGTTGCTGTAGGAGTTCCCGATTTTTGCGCGCAAAAATAAGCCCCGCCCTCACAACACAAAACAACTTTGAACAAGATGCAATTGCTGCTTGTTTTCACAACATGTTGCGAGTGTTGTCTCTGAACAAAATACGACTCTGGTATCACTAATGACTGCATAGTGCAGGACAATATTGAAAAAAAAAAAAAAAATTGAAAAAAGTGGAAGCTTGAGTAAATCATTAATGGTATGAAACAGATTAGAAGGAAATAAAAATGAAATTGACCAACCATTACAGGCCTAGACTGGCAAACTGGATTGGTTCAACACTGGTGTGTTCGGGATCTGTCTTTTTGGATCATCCTTTGGTTTTCGACACCATGCTTGAGGCTGATAAACAATTTTGGATCAGTATCAGTATTTTAAAAACCAAGAGAGGAATTAAATCAAAGCGGATTCATGCATCATCATCTTAAATCTTGAAATGAGACAGGGACAAAATTCAGACAACTGAATGATTTACAACAGTACTGAATTTAAGTGCTTAAGGGTGATTTCTTGTCATTAAATCTGGGTTTGCATTCCCTAACTTTAATAAGATGATCAAAAATTATTTCAAACATTCTCTAACAGATATGATATATACTCAACTGCTACATATGCTGCTCTGAGAAGGGGCCGCTAGTAGTATTTTAGTAACAAAAAATTAGTCACAGATCCATAAATGGGTGCTTTTACAGTCAAGCCTCTGTCTCCCTTCCCCTGCCGTTAAAATGAAGATTAAAGCCCAACTGCGTAATTGACAGGTAAATCAGGAAGTGATTTAGAAAAAAAAACTTAGCGACTGGAATTACAAAATTAGTTAGAAATAGATGATAAAACAGATTAAATAAATGACTCAACGGTAAAAGTAATCCGGCTACCTCAGCAGCGTGGTTCCCTATGCTTAGCTTCTGATTTTTTTTAACCAAGCAAACAAGTAAAGGAAGTGCTGAAAAGAACAAAAACTCAACCGAAAGCATAAGACCAACCAGCAACTAAAAAAATTAGAGAAAATGTTATTGATTTGTTCAGTACCTTACTTCAACAGCTTTACTGTATTTTTTACCCTGTTCATTACATAGATTGAGCTGGAGTTATTTTACCTTGTATGAGCCCAAGGAGAGAAAAGAGATTGGTCACGGCAGAATCTATTTGACTATAAACAGAAAGTTAAGCGTTCAAATTATAACATTGGGAAAAAAATAGAGATGGACACTCAAAGTAATGGGTAAGACAAAGCTATAAAGGGTGCTTTCCTGAAACAAGGTAAGGAGAATCAACGGACTGACAGGTTGAAAAATAAAAAAAATTTAAAAGCAAAAATTGTGTCTGCATAAGGTAAATCTGATGCAGAGAATGAACTTTTAAGTCTGGTTAGCAGCTGATCAGAAATTAATAGACGACTAACTAAATACTAATAGATACATTGAACAACTAAAATAAAATTTACAGGTCTCGGCAATAAATGATTGGGTTTACCACAGAAACTGACACTTGCAGTCAAGTTCACAGGTACAACTGCCTCAAAATTAACAGTTAGAAAGAACTTACAGCTATGAAATGATTCCCTCCTGGACAATTATTGTTCTGGCGGAAAGATAAGCCAAAGTCCCCCCAGCAAACCTGATCATCTGAAGCGCGGCGGCATCATTGGAGCCAACATAGGGGGTCCAGGGAACGCCATCGGGCCAGCTGCTGAGTAGGCAGGATGCATCATTGGAGGACCCACAAGTCCCGGAACCAAGCGATGACCTAGAATAAAGAGCAAATAGGAATTGATCACAGTAATACTGTGCACAAATTACCACAATAAGGTTAGCTGGTAAGCCAAAAATTAGTGCTTCCCTTTTTTCTGCCTTATAAGTATTTGTATGTACTGGCAACATATCAATAAGCCAATTATTTTTGTCAACCAGAACTCAAATTCTAGAAGTCTGATTGTTGAAATTTTGTGTTTGTTAACTGGACAGAGAAAGACTAAGGAGGAATGGAGCTATGCAATTGGTTGATTTTGACAGTGATCATCTTTGATGTACTTATGTCTGGTGGATTTGATGATAAAGGGTCAAACTCAATGACCGACTTTAGCTTCTCTTCGATTCCTCGCAATATAGGAACAACAAAGAGGTTGACTGACAAAGCCCACAACATACATACCTCCTCAGTCTTATCTTCTCTGGCAACAAACACAAAATTTAAATGATGACGCTGCAAAATTTGCACAAAACAAAAGAAGCTGTTTCAAGGGTTTAAGTTTATGGGCTAGCAAACATTGCCTAAGACTTCTTTGTTGCATTTTATCTTTTAACTTAGATATTTATTTGTCTATATATATGAGCATGGTGTGGTGAAAAACATCCTACTATTTCTGATTCAACATGATGCCTCATTTGAGTACCTGATGAAGTGATAAACTTGAGGTTCAAACTTGTGTTAGAACTGCGCTTATGAATCTCGTTGTTGTGCTACTAGGGCACTTTGTTTCATTTCCACCAATAAGGCTGCAGCTGTTAGGAATGGCCTGTTGTATTGGAAATGCCAGAGCTCCAATTCTGTACATTTTTACCATATGTGTATCACGGCAACAATTGAGGAGGGTTCCGGAAAAAGGGCCCATACCGAAAAATCGCGTTGTGAGAAAAACGTCATGGAAGTTTTCATTACTGTGTTTTGACCGCGAAGAGACTTCAAAATTCAAAATGAATGTTTCATACAAGGATTCATATATCCTAGAATGAAATCAGAGATTGGCAAAAGTTGCAAATCATAATTGGACTGCGAGAGGAATTTTTAAAAAAATTCGATTATGGGCCCTTTTTCCGGAGATCCACTGATGGTAATCGGTTCTTGTGACTAAATTAGTTAAAAGCACAATTGAAACAAAAAGAAGAAGTATTATCTCTTCTAAATAACATAAAATAAATAGCTGACATCTTTGGTGGTCTGAAAACTGAAGCACTTTCCACCACAACATTCTGTCATTGACTTGAAAATTTTCCCCGAGACGGTTTTACCGGATAAAGTTTGGTAACGTGACCGTGCAGTCTTTTTAATTTGGCAGATGCCTTTTTTACCTGTTACCTGTTACCTGTGTTTACCTGTTTATTTTTTTACTTTTATGGCGCTTTAATCTGTCATTATTTACAATGTTACTACCACTCTCGGACATTGCGAAAATATCATCAACGAATAGAGACGAACAACACGAACTAACTTCGCGAAAAAGGAAGAGAAATCCTCTGACACACACTAATATTATTAATATTATTCTGCGTGTTATTATTTGTGGGTGCCACTGTTGACATCTTGATTAACTCGGAAATCTGCATTTACTGATTGCAGCTAGTGATCAGTGCATTCGATGTATGTACAAAGAGGGGCTGTTATCAGTCGGATCGCTATCTGCTGGCCGGGGCGCTCGGGTCTCGCGTCATATTCTAGATGATACCCCGTTCATAGAGGTATTTAGTGGAAATCCCACGCCCGGAAAAGTGGTCGTGTGGCTTTAAAAATTGGCGAATCGATACGAAACTTTAGGCACATATAGTTTAGGGCACGGGCAATCCATTAATGCGTTCTCCGGAAAAAGGGCCCATACGCCCATGGGCCTTTTTTCCGGAACCCTCCTCAATTTAGTTCCACCAACAGTGAAAATTCTTATAGGAGCTACTGATTGCAATTAATGTTTATCGGGAGTGTTCTGAAGCTTATCAAGGACCGATAGCACAATCTTAGCTTGAGCAATTCATAAAATCAGTTAATGCATAGAAATCAGAAAACGCAAACTTCCTGCCGCCTAAAGTTAAAAAAAAGGGAAATTTACCAGGATGAGGAACCATGCCCATTGGAGGAGCGGGAGGTCTAGGCATCATCATGGCTGGCTGCCCGAGTGACATCATTGGTCGTCCCATTGGAGCCATCAACGTCAGTCCTGAGCTTACAGGAGGCACCATTGAACCCACACTGATAGGCATATTCGGCATAGAAACTGGGATATGAGGTGTAGGGAATCTTTGCAGCATGAGCGGAGGCCCATTTCGCCTGTCGTCAATATTCTGAAAACCAAAAGTAAATCAATACTTCACAAACCATTCATACGTTTGTTTTATTCTACAAGGACCGCTTTTCTATGGAGGAAAATGATAAATGAACACCTGGAAAATAGGACTGTACTTGGTGATAAGGAGCCGTCATTTCTGGCTCATACATAAGAGTACCTACCTGCATGGGAAAACTAATGGCACAAAAGTTGTCGCTAAAATTGGGCAGAAATAGCGGTTCCTTGTAGCAAAATGATGTCTAAATGAACTGAATTTTAATTCTTATCAGAACTAATTGGAGATATTATCAAAATCTGATTAGATGGCAGCCTAGAAAAAGTCATTGTAGAATGAAAAATTTTGAGATTGCCAAAAAATGAATTGAAATGCGAGCTAGAAAATCAGAATAATGATATCATGATCAACAAGGGGAGGGAAGAATGTGTTGTAGACCAGGTAAGGGATCTGAGGTTTAGCATTACAGTCTTGAGCTAAGCTCTCAGCTTACCTCTGGATTTTCTAACTGGTTATTGCTAAGATCTTCATTTTTAGAGAAAATTTACCATTAAGAATATTTTTCTTCAGCCCTTTGGCGTAACAATTCAAAAGACTATTGTCCCAGTGTGTGAAAGCCTTCCTTCCTTCCAAAATTAACGACAACAATCATGTTCCCCACATAGTGTAATGTACCTTGAACTCCAGTTATCACATGCGTGTAAAGTTAATCGAACCTCCAACGCAATGTTAACAATGCTAACAAAGAATTCTTGTTAGTAATTATTAGGTAGGTAACCTCACTGCAACTATGCATCTTCCTAGCCCACTACAGAGGAAACCGAGGATGTGACTGAAAACTGGCGGTAATATAAATTGCGGCGCAGCATGGCTCTTTCGACTTTACATTGTCTTACATATACCCATATTACTTCATTTTTCACAACACCCGAGGATGGAACTTATTCTGAAGTGGCCACAGAATAATGAAATTTGGATTACAAACATTTGGAGAGTTGTGGTAAAAAGTTGATGCAATGCATTAAATGCATTTAAGAAGTCTTCATAAGAGTAATTTTCACTATTTCAAAAATTTTAGGACTATTGGTGTTTTTTTTTTTTTTTTTTTTTTTTTTTTTAACCAGAAACAATAAGAAACAAAAATTTTCTGGAAAATCTCTCTTAAACTGAATTGACTCATTTAATTCATGGACTATTGAGAATTAGAGAAAATCCTTCCTTCCCAGTTTTTGCAGGATTCTAGAGGAAAATTCCTAATTCTTCAGATTAAAATGTTCCAAAAATTGCCTGAGGCTTATGAAAATACCAGACTGTGCAAGACAATGGTCGGAAGTTGAGTGAAGAGGCAATATTGCTTTCTAAATTTTCCTTGCCTATGAAAGAATGTTGTGTAACGCAACTTTGCACACTCTGGCTACTTCTCTGTTCCTGGAGCATCTTTGTCAAAGTCAAATTTACAGGATGTGAAAAAAGTACTTACATGTTTTGTGTCAGGCTGCTGATGTTGGTGCATATTGAGTTGCTGTGGTTGTTGTGGCGAGGAGGACGAGGTTGAATTCAGAGTCTGCTGAGGTGGGGTGGCAGTATTTTCGTTGTGCACAGGCGTTAGAACAGGCTCAGGTATTTTTGACCTATATTTCGGCAGTTTTGCTCTTATTTCCTCCTGAAAACATTTAAAAAGTATAAATTTAATTAGGATTCGACAATTAAAAGAGACATAAGAGGGAGAAAAGGCTCCAATCATTTCCACTACTTACAAGCATGAGGGTCAAAATTGTTTGAACTTCATTAATAACTCGGACTACATTGATAAGAAATTTTTTTTGTTTAAGAGGACATGCAAAAAAATTGACCAAAGTCAACAGCAAATACTCTAAAAAATGTACTCCATTTCATTTTGGACAAAAGTTTCACTTGTTGTTAATCTTAGAATGATGCAATTTACATGTTGTTCAAAGAAATTTACAAATCCATAGGGAGGAAAAAAGATAACTTTGAGCCATAGGCACACCTGGATTTGGTTTGAACTTGGGTATCTCAGCTGAGATATTTAGAGCAGGCATCGCAAAAACTTAGGATCATGAAAGTCCAACGAGTTGACCACATACTGTTACCCGTCTTCAGTTTCTAAGCAGAAATACAGAGAACTCTGAAAACACTGTAGCTCTAATGGTGAGACAGCAAAACTCCGATTCACTGCATTTAGGTATGGTGAAATCTCCATTCAATGGATTTTAAGGCTAACAAACAAATCCATTAAATTGTTGAGTTCATAAATCTGAATCTATGGATTCCCAAAAAAAACTGAGTCATTCAATTTATAAAATAATTTGACTTACAAATCTAGCGCCAAAATAATATTCTGTTCAAGTGTGGAGCTCGGAATGAAACAAAGTAAGACAACTTACCAGGGAAATATCTTCTTGGGGGTGAATTATCTTACTAGTTGAGCTAACTGTGTTTATCAAGGGTATTTTTGCAGGTTCTTCAGAGGAATTAGTTTGCCCACCTTCAGGATCGCCGCTCCCACTAAGGTACAAAAGTAGAGAAATACAAGGATGAGAAAATACTTTATTTTAGCAGAAATTAGAGTACGTCAAAGATCCATGTGACAGTTGTTGCAGGGATTTACAGCATGTTATGGATTTACTAACAGCTTCAAAATTGAATTTGTCCGCAATGTCATGGACCCCTGACACTACGTGTGGATCCACAGCATATTATCTGTCTACAATAGGCTAGAAAGGACACAATTTTTTTAAATTGAAAAACATGATTAGTCTAACCTGACCTACATTACTTTGTCATCAGCTTGAAGTTCATAGCCCCTGTGAGATAGACACTTGATGTTCCTCTGCTCATAACTAAATAATGCCAGTCAGTGATGTAGATGCTAAGTTGCCGATCACCTGAAATCTTTTACAACAGCCATGTACAAAGCAGGTTTGGTATGCTCTTTACCCGTGATTACATTACTTCATTTTCCCGCCAGACGCGCAGGAATCTTTATAAAGCAATAAACCGTCATAAACACTTGAGATTAAAAAAAGCTTGCATTTAGGCTTAAATGTTAATGGTTCACTACTTTAAAAAAAATCATTAACGTCTCATTAGAGAGGGAAAATTATGAACATTCAAATTGAAGTTCAATATATTTTTTCAAAAGTTTTTTGGATTTAAACTGAAGACAGGCTGCATTGCAGGTTACATCCTGCAAACATAGTATCAAAATTCAAGAGTTTTTGTCATTGTTATGAATTTTTCTTAAGAATTATGCAAAAAATAAAACTGTTGGATCAAACACTGTATACAATATTCATTTTGAAAAGTAAAATTTTTTATATTAGGGGTGAGAAAATGCTCTTTTCATTTACATTGGACACTGTAAACAAGATCACTGATTTCCATATAATTTGACACATCGTCATCATCATCATCATCATCATCATCATACAAACAATGTTCAGTCAATGCAAACTAAACATTTTTTCAACTTGCTTAACATGTCTAGTCTTTGGCTTCTGAGGTTTACTTTGTATAGACTATGTATATGGTAAAAACACATTAAAATGATATGAAAATAAGCGGGTCAGTCATAAGCTTCCGCATCCAATTGAATCAGCATTTAACCTCCCCTAAAGTAGGTATTTTACTTCAAACAGTGAAAATGTTCAAAGTTTAAGATCTGTTTGTTTTATTTCTTGAATGATCCTTTAAGAAAATTTAATCACTTTAACATACATTTTTTAGTTTTGATCTTGTTTACAAAACGCAACCCGCAAAGCAGCATGTCTGCATATTTCGCCTGGAAGAAATTTCAAACTACATATAGGTACCTTATTTTAATTTGGCAGGTCAAAATATTACCTGTCTTGCAACAGGGTACAGTTACACTTCTTTGAACCTAGTTAAGTTGCATCTGACCTAAAAAGGTGGTAAAATGCACGTTTCCTCTAACAGGACTACAACACGAGAGAGTGCAATTTAGTCAGAGGGCTCAGCCTCCTTGACGGATTTCTTCTCAAATCTCCTCAGATGTTACACCGAAACTGAGGCACCCCTTCCATACTCATTCTCATCCTTTAAATTGGTAAAGGGCTGAGGACATTTGCTTTATGGATAACTTTTTTCTTTTTTTTTACAAAACGTCATGATTTATATACAAAATTTAATTTAAATTTTCCGCGGGGCCTCTTATACGACTTTCTTCAAGTAAAGCCCCAACTTCTGAGAAAATTAAAGTCCACGAATAAGAAGACAAGAAAAAAACAAACCTGTAAGCCGGAAACATTGGTTTTATAGGTCCTATGGGCGCATTGCTAGTGATGGGCTTAAAATCGGTTCCAACAGGTGATGATGATGCTGTTGAAGCCTGAAATAATCAAAATATATCATTGAATGTTACCATAAAACTAAGTAATGGGTGCATTTGTCCCAACCTTTCACAATTACGCAGTCAGCCTGTCACACAGCAATGCTACCATTCTACTTTTAATCTCAGGCTGAGAGGCTGCAATCGAAAAGAAGAATGATCCTGTGAAAGAAAAGCTGACACCATACAAGACGTCATATCAGTGGTCCATCTTTAGACCATTGCAGACATATTATGGAGAATATCGTCCCTACCTCCCCTCCTTGTCCCTCACAATACACTAGAGGGTCTCAGGATAGGGAATATCCTGAGAAAGGCGAGGAGGGGCCCAGAAGACTATCCCCCAGCCAATTTTGGAAAATTTAACCCTTTAAAGATCCTTGCATCAATTTTAGCGATAAATCGTTTAAAATTCTTAGTTTTTTCTTTCAAAACTTACGAAGAAAACTTTCCATTCGGACTTATTTCATAAAGTTAGGGTAAAGCCTTGAAAAAGGGTTGGAAATTCGACACTCCTTGAGGCTTTCACTGCATTTAGTCGAAAGCATAAACTGTTTCAGTGTAAAACAAAAACGACGTACTTATGTTGAATAAATTATTTGTTTAACATGAATGCTTTAAGATACACAAATAAAATTGGGACTGAATTCAGCAAAAAAGGACGAAGGCACATTTTAATAAAATCACAAAGAAATTTGACTGGCTAAGATTCCTTCAACATACTAAATGCGACAGCATTTAGATCTTCCAAGCTTGTGTAACACTCGCGTGTGTTTGTCTGGAACATTAAACATCAAAAGATATTGTGAGGAGGGCCCCTCAAAAAGCCCACTTCAGTTGGGGAGGTCTTCTCCATACCGTTTTTCAATATCTGTAACCCTTCTCAAGATATTAACAAGTGCCCACACTTTTTGCACACCCTGTATACAATGACTGCATTTATACTTTTTTTATATCATCTGGAAGTAAACATTTATTTTCTTTTTAAAAATTTTAGGTTTTATATACTTACTATTGCAGCAGCACTAGGGAACAGGGGTTTGTTAGGTTGTGGGGGCGGCCCTCCCATTCCTGGTGGTGCCATTGGACCTGCTGGTCCACCTGGCATCATTGGCATACTGTAAATAAAAACCGATACAATATAAATTCAGGAATTCACAGGACAGACAGCAATACAGAAAGGAAATAAAGGAGAGAAATATTCGCACTTTGGAACAAGATTGCATCAGTATTGAAAGATAATGAGTTACCCAATCTTGTTAGAAACTTGAGAAATGGAGGATGGTAAAAGCACACCATGCCAGTAAGAGGCAGTCAAAGGTTGGTAAAGTTTGCAAACCACATTTACTGCCTTTAAATGCTTCATTGCTTGAAAATAGCTGGATATATTGAAATGTTAAAAGTACATCATTTGTTGACTTAACAGAATTTATGCATAAATTAATCATTTTTCCTTTATCTTACATTTCCTAAAAAATAACGGCAGTTAACAATTTCTAAACTAAGTGAGTAAATGTACTGAAAATAGTTCCAGATGGTTGAAATGATTGTACAAAATGAAGTTGTGACAAATGGTAACGAGAGACACGAGAGCAAACACACAGAGTTGATTCTTGTAAAAGAGCAGTCATATATACACCTGGGAGGCAGGAATATTTCAGGAGCCAGGACAAGTAAAAAACTAAGAAGTGCAGAGCTAAATTATAAGTCCATTAAATAACTTCAGAAAAAGTAAATGACCTCTTAAAAATTATTTTTGACTATTAGTGATAATGTTGAGCCATTAAACTGGACCTGTTTATTACATTCAGCCTGAATTTAATCGACTGAGCATATACACAGCTTTAGATGTGACTGAGGACACGTTTAAATCAATTTTAAAAAAAACTTGAGATAAAATGACCTTCGCACATAATAAGAGTCTTCAAAATCCTTACCCAGGTCCCATGAAAGGAGGTCCCATTCCCATCATGGGAGGTCCTCCCATTGGAGGTCCAAAAGGAGGCTGCATTGGCATCATCGGCACTTGAGGCATCATTCCTTGACCAGATGCTCCTGACTTGTTGGCTTCTGATGCTTTTTTCTTGTTTGGCGGCTCATCATCGCCACTGTCTGGAGACTGAGATGGTCCACCTGCACAGGTAATGATGAATAGAGTTATAAAGGGAGCTGTACTAGTTTATCTAATAGGTATGTTGCATACAAAAGATACGGATAAGTGAGCAGACTTTCTTGGAGTAACTGCAAAAAAATCACTAAATGCATGGTCAAAAAAGTCTCCTTACCTCACAGTTTGCAATGTTCATATCATACATCTATATTGGAGTACGAGCAAAACTTTCAGACTTACATGTTAATTTAATGGAATTTTTGTGCAATTGAAGAGCTTTCCGGAGAAAGGGCACATAGAAAAAAATCACAATGGAGAAAAATGCATTTGCAGCTACCATCATTATTCTATGGCCACTGATTGTGACTTACGTTCTCAATCGGGAGTCCAAGCTGCGATGTATGTGCAGTGGCCAGGAAGTAAGAATGGAAACTTAAAATTCATTTTTCTCAAGTGCAATTTATTGCTAAGTGCCCTTTTTCCGGAAAGCTCCTCAATTTCATCAGTATTGAGTCTATTCATTTATTTGTATCTATTGTGTGCAAGAGACTCACTATTCACATGCATCAACAAATACAGACATCTGTGTTCTACTTACACTCCGCGTCTGTTCTGAGATTAGACTAGGTGCAGGGAAGTAATGACCAACCAGAGGAATGCAGTGGAGATCTCAGCTAGATAATGGAACACCGGATCCATCAAACGTCCAAAAATTAGGTTTGAGATGTAAAAACACAATCCTATTCTAGGAACAATTTGATAACCTTACTTTGTTTCTGAGTCTGTAAAACTTTTTTTTTTTGGCTTCAAAGAGCACCAGTCTACAGTTGACTGCGTCCACAGAGCAGGCTTCATCCTAACTATTGATTTACAGTAGAGCAATTAAAATGCTGAGGAGCAATGGATAGCAACATCTGCACATTGATGGTAACTTAGTTCCCTCCCAGATAACTGAATAAAAGGACAATGAAAGCCCTCGCAATAGTTGGCTAGCATTGAGCAAAAAAGGAACCAGCGTGATTACAGCGTTTTCAAAGTCGTCCAACATCTTTTTTTCTTTAAAAACTAAATGGACGTACAGTATTAAAATCTACACCATTATTTTCCTTTAAAATTAAAAATTTATTGGTGAAAAGCAAAGACTATTGGATATTCTAGGAGACTTTTTTAATCATTATGAAGCAACATTTTAACAGCACTGTAATTGCGCTGGTTCCTTTTTGCTGAATGCAATCCAGATGATCTACCACAATAACAAACCTGATTTGACTGAAACCTTTATAAAACCCATACTATTTCTATTTATCTCAGAAAACTTGTTAACCTCAGATATAATTTATTTTTAACGTTCATTCTGTAATTAATTATTTCATTAAATGAATTTTAGATGAAAGATAATACAGTCATTCATACTTTGTCTTTGCTTTTCATGCTCTTTTAGATCTTCTGCAGGGATGCCTTCCATTCCATAAATTTCAATCTCAATATTGCATCTGTGAGATAGTGAATTGGGAACTTTGTCAATTGTTTCTTTGTGTACCTGAAAACAAAAAATTAAAAATCTGAAATGAAGCTGGACAGCCAGATATATTAGTAAGATTGATCATCAATGCGTGGGTTTCAGAGCAAACTTTAGTTGAAATTGAAAATTCAGGATCCTGTGAGAAAAACTCTTTATTCCTGACTGAAATTTTTCAAAACATGAATGCTGCTTCCAGTAAAGTAAACATCAGTTGGCACTCCTTAAAGAATCAGAAATATACAGCTCATGGTTTTCAAATCAGCATTGGCCAGTCAGAGGCTGGACGTACTGTTAACTGTTCCTTCAACAATTTAAGTGATTATATACTCAGACTTTGAGGGTCTTCAAACCATTATTCATTTCCCCAAGCTGTATGCAAAAGAGCACTTCTATTCCCCAAGCTGTATGCAAAAGAGCACTTCTAATTCATGGTCATTTTAAACATATTCATGATTTCTTTTTGTAGATAAACTTCAAGTATTGAAAATACATTTTTATAATAAAATTACAAACAAATAATTACTCCTGACGAATGAAACCTTAATACATTAAACCATGGAGAATTTGAACCTCAATGCTAAGAACTGAAAAATAGTACCTTGAAAAACTTGACCTAAGGATATTCAAAAGTAACTTACTTGCATACAATGTATAGAAAGTCCGGGCCCTGTATATAGTTTTTTGTGACAAATGTGACACTTAAAATGTTTAGCCTTTTGGTGTTGGATGAGAATTTTCTCGTCTTCAAACTCACGATTGCAGTACCTAAAGAAACTCAATTAAGGAACATACCACGAAGGCACAACAGAGATCATATCTACTTAAAGGGTACACAGCATGAATCCCTTTAACAATACTTACCTATTTTCCAAAAACTCAAGTTGTGGCTGTTTTTGGCAACCTTATAAGACATTTGTTTTCCTCTCTCAATAAATAATTGTGAATTGACATTTTTGCACTTTTAATTAGAGAAAAGTTCCCAGATGTTCGATTGAGTTAGTACCCTATTTGAATACGAAAACTATGACTCAAATAGTCACTACAGAAGGTCTCTTGGATACTGCTGTTAATGGAGGAGTAGGGCAGGGTGCCTTGCTGAGCTCATTTCTCTTAAAAATAGTGATGGACATGTTGACTTGTGCTGTATGCCTGAAAAGCGATTACACCTAAAGGAATATAAACACTCATACAGCAAAGGCACGTCTTCCAAACTCCAAAAATTTTGAGGATGAACGGCAAAGAATATTGTATACATTTAATCTGAGATCCAAGGAGCATTATATGAAAGTATCTGTAGTTGTGACGAAAAGTATTTTGATCAATGGGAACCATCTTCTTCCTATAAGGCAAAATAGCACATCTGCCCCTGATGGGCTTTGGCCTCCAAAACAACTCCTTGTCTTACTTGTTAGAGTGGAGTTTGATGATAGGGAATCCATAGCTGCGGGGCGATTATTGAAATGATATCGACTGTATGTCGCCGCTTTGTCGTGTCGCGCCATCGACTAAGTGGCTCTTAGTCGATGGCGCGACACGACAAAGCGGCAACAAAGAGTCCATATCATTTCAATAATCGCCCCGCTAGTCAAGTAAGCAAAATTTGTAAATTCAACTGGGTACTAAAATAGTACAATTTACATGAGGTTCCGTTCACAATTCGTGACGCAATTTTTTAGTCTTAAAACCAATGGGTATCCAGGTATATTTACTAGAAATTACTTTCGCACCAAAAAAATTCTTCTTACTGCCTTTATAGATCCACCCTGGTCAACGTACTCTGAATCATCAATACGTTATACTTGATTTGTTGTTTTCAGCTTCGGTGAAAAGATTATTTAGTTGACATGAATTTTAAATTGAGTAAAAGAGTACTTCGAAACGGAGAATTGTTTATTGATGAATGAGGCCAGAGAGTGAACAAGTCATGCTGACATTACCTTCCTTGCCAGGAAGGCTTTACTTTTCCCCTGTACTCTCAGATATGAGTGCGCCGTGTTAATGTCTCCATGTTACCATTAAAGTCCACGCTGTTTTTTTACGGTATACTGAGACTTTCCAAAAATTCAATCTAGACAGTCTTAAACCAGAGAAAATGAACAACTTATGCAGTATAATCACATTCGTAGACTTTCACACTCAGCTGGCAGCGAAGAACCTAAGTGTACTTTTCTTTTCAGAGAATATGTAACTGAAAAGTAAATTTCGAGATTCAAAATGCAATAAATGGGATTAAATGCTTTTATCACCTCTCATAGTTCCATTTGGTTATAAGAAAAAACTAAGAGGCTGGGAATGTGAAAGAAATGAAGTATGTACTTGGGTAGTCAAAATAATAATGGAGGTTAAAAGGATACCAACACCATGGTTTCGCCTGCTTCTTCTTCTTTCGACCCATATTGAATGAATGTAAATTAACAACAAGGGTGAAACAACTGATTAAGAAAACTGAGGGATCGTAGCACTACAATTATACCAATAAATGAGATCAGAAATAATAAATTCAATTCGTCCTCACAAAAACTACTACAAGGAAAGAGAAAAGAGGAAAGACCGAAGTGGATGGTGGATGCTAACGTCATGGATTGATAAAACTGCGCCGTTAGAGGGGACATTCTCGTAAGCGATGTTGGCCCAGTTGATTCATGGTTGCCTAGGTTGCCTGGGGCTTGGCGGGAAGTTTGAAAGTAAGTGCAGAACTCGACTTTCATGGATCCAGTCGCACCCATTCGTCATCCCCCCTCCCCCCCCCCCT